GGTTGTTTTATCGTGGTGATATCACGAGGAAGTTCCCTGTGTAGAAACTGAACCTTTTTAACCACACTTTGTAACTGATCCACTCAAAATTGGTTTATTACTACTGATAATACTGAGCCAGTGAAGAGCAAATGGGATTCAGTCATGTATTTGAAGACAAACAGAATTCACCTGACTTTGGACTTCAGGTTTTTAGTGGGGTGCGATCTGGAAGAATGACCTTCTCTCGGTCTCCAAACTGAGTAGGTTGGAAAGAAATTTGGCTGATTTTTTTTGTTTGTTTTGTTTTAGTTTTGGGGTGGGTTTTTTTTTTGGTTTGGTTTTTTGTTTAGCCAAGGAATCAGTTGTGGAAATTTTTGAGAGCAATGCTGACTTCTGCATTTGCTTAAGTTACTTTGATTGTATTTCTGCATGTTGTCCTGTGTTTCTGCTGTAAAGCTGGATTTCGGAGGGTTTATAGTCATGTGGAAGTGTTGCTGGATGGTACTGGTGCTTTCCTTGCTGGCACTTAAAGGATTTTCTTGGCTATAATGCTAAAATGTGTGGGGTTGGCTTATTTTGTCTTTCCACAAATTTCCAGATATTTACTTCTTCATCTGTAGATAAGTGCTTCGTAGTATTAGAGCAGCTGACCTCTGAGTGTGGGAGAGAGAACTTAGAGACCAGATGCCAAGAGGGAGATCTATGCAGACATAATCTCCTTTTATTAAAAAACAATAAATAAAAAAAAAGTCTGCCTGTGATTGATTACTATTGTGCCTAAGAACTTGTCGTGTCAAAGGGCTTATGTGACTGAGACTCTTAAAATGGATTGCATTGAATCTTGGTGCTCTTCCCACTTTAATGCGTTTTTGACTCGATGTCTCTATTGTCATCTTTGCATGTTCAACTTGAGTGTTTCCCTTGATGTTCCTGGCTGCAGCCTGTCAGTGATGAAAGCTGGGTTAGAGTATTAGCTGTAAATGCATTATAACACGGCAAGACGTTGCTATCTGTTCCGCATTGGAAGATGGGTCTTGCATCCAGGCTTTGGAGAGGGAGGTGGATTTCTTGCAGTTCTGGGAAACGTATGTAGAAAAAAGGAGTGGGGGGGGAGAATCCGTTTTCATTTCAGGTACTGCTACTTAAAGCATTCCTATGCTTAGATTCCAGAAAACATATTTTATTTAGGCTACTGTTTGTCTTGGCATTCCTTATGGGGTCAAAGAAGGAAGTTGGTCACTGTGCTGTTAATGACTCTGCTTCACTGTTGGAAAAATCCCCTTCCTTCAATATCTACCAGACTTTTTATAACTTTAGAGTAGATGTGGTATGAACAAAGTCATGTCTATAGTACTCAGTTTTGATAGATATTCTAACTCATTTGAATAGTAATAGGCTATAAAGCCCCACCAAGTGAAGGATGTGTGGTGAGTGGCCAGAAGGTCAGACTGCTGCTTGTGAAAGCTTGAGGAGAAAGAGGTGGCTGATGCTGGTTTTTAGGGCAAGCCACAGCTGTTTATTTTGGGTTTTTCACCTCTCTACTGAGCATCTCTGCCAGAGGCTCAGTCTCTTGGTAGGGACAACAGAAAAGAGGATGAGAGTTGCAAGGAAACCACTGGTCCATATAGCCTGGGAAACATTAGCCTCCCCAGGGCATGGTTATATAGGATGCCTGGTCTACCACTGCAAACCCTGCTCTGCCTGATTTATTTTTTCAATTATAGTCCCCTCGCAAACTCCGGAGGTTGTGTGTAGTCAGTTTGGCCTCTTGTGCAAGAGGAATTCCAGTTTTGGAGGAAATTGTCTGACTTGATAAGCATCCTCCTAATTTCCAGAACCTGTTTTTCTTATCAGAAAAACATGGATATACATAAATGTTTGCTCCCCACAGAGCACTCCCATTTGGGCACTAGCTGTGGGAGTTATTCTGTGTGTAAAGGGGTGTAATGGGTCAGTTACCCCAAAACATGTCAGGAAGAGTCTGACATCTAGAAAAGCAACGTGCAAACCATAGTGGCGTTCAATTCCTAAGTTTCTTTTAGTTAATGCATATATAAGGAAGTCAATTAAAACACATTGGGCTTATTTCGAATAGATAATCTAATTATCAGCTTGATTAAACCATATCAAACGAACAGTTCTTGTAAGTCAGTAGCTTTGTTCTAATCACTGCAAAAGCAGTAATAGCTTTAATTAAAACCCTCAAAAGTGGCAGACTAGTGTCAATTGAGGGGTGTTCAGCCAAATACCTGATTGCAGGGAAGATCAAACCGCTCCTAGGTTGATGCTAATATGAAGGCTAACTCTTTGGTGCCAGTGAAGGGAATCTGACTATTTCATAAATACTGCTAAATGCAAGCAATTGTCCTTTTCTGCTGTTTCTGATGCTCAGATACAGACTTAATTAATCACACTCAAAGAATTGTGGTCAACGGCTCGATCTCCAAGTGGAGAGCAGTGACAAGTGGTGTTCCTCAGGGATCGGTATTGGGACTGGCGCCGTTTAACGTCTTTGTTGGTGACATGGACAGTGGGATTGAGTCCACCCTCAGCAAGTTTGCTGGTGACACTAAGCTGTGTGTGCGGTTGACACGCTGGAGGGAAGGGATGCCACCCAGAGGGACCTTGAAAAGCTTGAGAGGTGGGCCCGTGCAAACCTCATGAAGTTCAACAAGGCCAAGTGCAAGGTCCTACACATGGGTCAGGGCAATCCCAAGGACAAATGGAGGCTGGGTGATGCATGGATTGAGGGCAGCCCTGAGGAGAAGAACTTGGACGTGTTGGTTGACGAGAAGCTTGACGTGACCCAGCAATGGGCATTTGCAGCCCAGAAAGCCAACAGTATCCTGGACCGCATCAAAAGAAGCGTGACCAGCATGTCGAGGGAGGTGATTCTCCTGCTCTACTCCGCTCTTGAGAGACCCAACCTGGAGTATTGTGTCCAGCTCGGGGGGGGTCCCCACCATAAGAAGGACGTGGACCTGATGAAGCGAGTCCAGAGGAGGGCCATGAAGGTGATCAGAGGGCTGGAGCAC